ATTTAACTTAACAAAGACTGACTGATGGCGGACCAGTGCTGGTCAGTATATGTAGTACTTGGTGACTGCTATGTTCTTGTTTCAGTGGCGCAGGTAATACAAAAGAGTCGAGTTCAGTAACTAAGATGCTGGATGTACAGTCAGAAATTGCCGCCGCTTTGAACAGACTCTGCGAGTGGGTCAATTCAAGGAAGATAGAGGTCAAGACATCCTGACTCCTATGTTACGCCTAGAGTACGCAAGCGATGGAACGCGCAACAGAAGAGGGGGTCGTTGTACGACGACTTGCGTTAAACGCCATCACTAAGGCATCGGTTGAATGTGCCCAGATCTCTTTGACAACTATTCTGCCTGTTGATGATGAAGGAGCCTCGGTGACGAAACAAAAGCATCAGATGTCGACCCTACGTCTGCAATAGTGACACGTAGTGAGGAGCTATAGTGGTCCACCCCCTACCTCGAGTCATCAAGTGCGCGAAAATGATCTTGAAGTCGTCCTTCCGTGAGCGTTCACACCTCTCTCCATGCAAAACTGGACCATCAGGTGGGACTGCACTCGTTCCCTTGCCGTTAAAAGCATTTCCTCCACTCATTCCTCAATTTCCAGTCGACGACTCAAGCTCATTTCCATCACAATGTCAACCCCAGTACATGCAGCGAGTTTCCGGTCCTCGAAAGTCAATTCTCGACAATCCAGCCACGCTGTGCGTCGAACAACTACTACAGACTCGAGTCTTTCAAGCAGTAGACTCTGTCACCTCCAACGAATCGACGATGTCATTCACCTCTCCCCTCAACGGAAGGAGGAGATGCTGGAGCTTATGCAAGATATGGAACGTCAAGTGGTCCGCTCCATGATGGGAAGCCACGAATCCTTGACACTCTGGAAGCCTCATATGCGCAAGAAAGGTATCGACTATTACGTGGACGAAAAAGTCGGCGAAGGACTCACTCGGTTCTGCTGTGTGGGGCAAACGAACGTCCCCGTTCCCAACATTATGGAGATGTTCATGGTCACCAACACTGAGACGTTACTCAAGAACATGCGGATCATGTATCGGAACGTGAAAAAAGCCAAGATCTTGTCGGTTCTTAAACCAGCAACACGGTCCAATCCCTACAGGTCCGTGTACATCCGATACGCGAGCTTCGACACCCCCACACTTATGAACGCGCGTGATATCTGCGTCTGTGTCTGTACTAACCTCATCAAAAAGAACGACGGCTCCACAGTTGGCTATTGCCTATGGAATTCTGTGGATATCCCAGAATGTCCGGACAGATTCGATACGGATAAAATAGTCCGGAGCAGGATGTGGAACTCCGGATTCTTTTTACGAAATTCGGGAGAAGCCAACGCCATGACCAGAGTGTGCTACCTCATTGGTGCCGAGATCAAGGGAGTGGTTCCGCAGCTAACTGGACGGATCTACATGGCCATCTTCGGAGGCATTTGCCATCGAGTTTGTCAGCACTACAGGAGGCGGTTTCGGAATCCGGAAAACTTCAAGCATCACTCAAAATGGACTCCAAAGAACGAAGTTTTCCAGTGCTATGTGTGTGGTCGAGCGTTCTACCCGTTGATGAAGAAATACCATTGCGTGAAATGTGGAGAAGTGATCTGTGGACGAGAACGCTGCTTCTTTATGGAAGAAGTGAGTGTGCGAGGTGCTGGGATCACTCGCGTTCGTATCTGTCAAATCTGTTTGGAGGAGGCGAAAATGTTAGCGTGGCATCTTGGCGCCATTGGAACTTGTGACATCCTCAACAGCGACGGATCTGGAGTTAGAGATCTCCTGGGGGTTGACTCGGTATCGATTTCAAGCAACAGGTCCGATTTGACGTAGACAGGGAGATAAATGCTGGGTTACGTGGTCAGTCAATACACGCACTATGGATAATACAGATTTCTCTATGATAGTGATCCTAGTGACTTTGTTTTTCAGCTATGTCACTCATATCCAGACACGTTTTCGTAAATTTGTACGTATAGACTTCTGTGTATACATACTAATCTTCGCCGTCCTCCGCCTGGATTCGATCACACTCAAAAGACTTACTGGTTATGACAACGCTGATACGAGTTTCTACACATTTGCTTCTGCGCCTCCTACGTCGCCACATAATACTTCGCTCATACAACTGGAGAAGGTTCTTGTTTTGGAATTCTACATGTAGTCCAAGTTCGCTGCGATACCGACTGTAGCACGGGGTCTCTTCATTGTTGGTAGCGGATCCAGTGAATCTGTAAACAAGTTTGCTCCTCGTTGGAGCGGTTTTTGGAAAGGGGGACGAGGGTCTACCTTGCTTTCCGTCAACCTTGTACTGAAAACTTGCGAACGCATTACCAAACCGAAAAGAATCCTTTTTACAAGCAGGTCAAGGGTTTACGATGCGCAAGGTTCCGTACAGTAGGTCGATTCCTGATTGAACATTGACGTCCTTTGATGTTCATCATGTTGCTCAAACGTAGGTAACACGACGTTGAGACGAGTGTTGTTGTGCTGATCTTCACAGAGCATTGGACCGACGGATTCAGTGCGACCGGTCCTGTCGAGGCCAACAATGCACGAGGCAGTGTCCAACTGAATAACTTCTGACCGCCAATGGCGATCCACCCTAGAGCTCGCTGCACTGCCTTGCCAATACAAGAAGCATGTCTTCTGGTACACGCAATAGGCCGGAACAACAGCTCGTGTTGTGGAACGAACGACATGTCTGACTCAATGCAAGGATTTGCTTTCGTGCATCGATTGATCGATCCGTTGAGTCAAGCAGCGAGAATCCAATGTCGAGATGCGGAGTGCCAATTGCCACCGACAAAATTGCCAGTGCTGGAGATGCCGCCGCCTCCTTCATTATGTTGGACACTTGTGCCTCCACACACAATAGGAGGCTTGAGAAATGGCCACGGCTGGAGATTACTTCAGCATTCATCCGATCGTTTTACTACCCCACCTGTATCAGGAGAAAGCACTAACAGTGACCATCAACGGTTAAATCAAACGGGTGCATCGAGAGAAGGCACGAACTCTCGACGTCACCAACTGCTAGGGTGTTTTTGCCGCTGTTTGATACATTTATGTCGACTGGAGTGGCATCAAGATGGCGAAAAGCAGATCCGAAAGACACAACATACGAACTCGCGACGGTCGCTGGGTCTGCCAAACTCTTGGCTCAAGAGCTCACTTGCCAATTGACCGTCTCGCTATCACATTGTGGACCTCATTTAGTCGCGTCGCGATCATGAGTAGCAGACCTAGTTGGGGTGTCAGTGGTGGTGCCATGTTGAGCTCCCAAGTACCGGAGCAAACCATCAATTTCCACCAAACGCTTCGGCCGTTCGAGGAACCTCTGCGTTCCTTCGATCAAACCATGAGACCGTCGCATCAGTCCATGAGGCTCTCGCAACAGATCAAGCCGCGTGCACGGCAGTCGGTCGATTTCTCAAAGGAGGTTCGGCCAACATCGCAGCGTCCGCGACAGTCGCTGCAAACTCCGTCAAAGGAGCAGCGTCCGCCTCAGCGAGCGCACCAGCGTCCTCGTCCGACATTGCAGCCTTCACTGAGGGAGCATCGTTCATCTGAGCGTCAACCTCGACGATCTAAGCCTCGCCAGCCATCGCAACACCGTACACAGCCGCCTCAGCCGACACTAGACCAGACTATTGCGCCTAGACGCGGTTTGAGCCTGTCGGAGCTGGCTACGGATCCCAAGTCCAAGCGTTCCGGTCGCCAATACAGCACCAGACCGTCGTTGGAGGTCTCGTTGGGGCTACCGCATGGCAGCGAGAAAACTGCTGGTGGTCCGCCACAAGGCCGGCTGTCGTCTGTTCAACGGCGCGAAATTATGGATCGCGTCGGTAGATCCGTGAAGAAGGTCATGTCTTCGATGCTACCGGGTGACAAGAACAACGAACTGTGGAAGACCAAGTTCCAGAAGAAGAACACCTCATACTACGTGGACGAGACGAGTGTCAAGCCCGGGCAGACGCGGTTCTGCTGCGTGAGCCACACGCACGCGACGGTGGACGAGATCATGAGTCTGTTCATCCCGACGGACGTTGACTCCGTGCTGCACAACAACAAACTGGTTTTCGATAACGTCATTGACGCCAAGATCGTGTCGGTGCTACGTCGACCGACCAGACAGCGGCCCATGAACTCGTTGTACCTGCGGTACTCAACTTTCCAGACGCCGGGGCCGTTGGCGAACCGGGAGATGTGCGTGGCTGTAGCCACTGACATGTTCCGTCAGCCGGACGGTTCGACCATCGGCTACTGTCTATGGGACTCGGTGGATGATCTCGAGTTCCTCAAGGCAGTGAAGCAACCAGGCTTTGACGTGTGTACGATGTTCCGTTCGGGTTTCTTCTTCCGTCACCCTGGACGGAGAGACTCCACCACCGGGGACTCGATGCAAGGGCAGACTAAGATGATCTATATGGTCGGTTTGGAGACGGGAGCCTGGGCGTCTGGGCTGACTGCTCGGCTTCAAATGGAGAAGTACGGGTCAGTACTCGAGCGTCTGCGAACTCATTTCCGTCGCAAATACCTGGACCCGAGCACATTCGTCATCAAGACGCAGTGGGAATCCAAGTGTGCGGCCAAGAGCTGCAAACAGTGCGACAAGACGTTCCAAGTGCTCTCGAACCGTGTCAACTGCCACGCGTGCGGTCACGTGGTGTGTAGATCGTGCGTGTCCAAGGAGTCGGTCGAGGTGCATACCGTTGGCCTCGTCCCCATTCACGTCTGCTTCTGGTGCCTAGAGAAGGCCGGACTTCCAGCGCCTGCATCGACTCGGAAAACCCGAACGAGTCTGAGGCAAAGACGTCACCAGTCTGAGACCGCGAGCACATTCCGACAGACCATTTCTGTCGTTTACACCGATGTGGCTAGTGACGAGGATACAGACGATGGCGAGTGGGCCATCACGACGATGGGAGTCCCTGTTCGGCCGTCAAGGATGGCGGCGTATGTTTAAGTGTCTAGAGCAACGATCGAAGTTGTCTACATATGTGTAGATGTGTGAATATCTGTAAAGTGCGTAATGGTTAAACAGAACATTGTTGAATGGCTGTACACTTCAAACATGTTCCTAGTTAAAGCAATCGTTGCAGGCTTCACCCCGATCTCTACGATACGAAATGCAAGAGCTAAGCTGTAAACGAGTGGCAGATAAAGTCATGATCCCGTGCTAGATTATCTTTCACGCTGTAAATCACGGTTGTGAAAGGTTTGAATAATGGTACAGCATGTATTATCTGACCCTTGATGAAATTGTCATGCCATCAAACATCTTGACGATCGCTATAGAGCAGCGTGTTCCTTATTCGAGAGGTGTACGTAATGCAAGGCCGTCAAGTTGAGTTGGAGACGAGTAATTTACCTCAGTGGGACGATGAAAAGGTTGTATTGAACCTCTATGGACATTGATCATGCTCGGATTTCACGATAGCTCTCGGCGAGAGTCTCGCCTAGCTTTGCCACAGAGATTTTAAATATTCAATATCTCGAGCAATCGGATAGAGTACATACCGACTTATGATAAGTCTTGCCAGGAAGATAATGCTCGGGCCGATGCCTAGGCATGGGCATGAACATGATAGCCTAGGAAGTATCCATTCGCCTAGGAGCTGCACGGTGTGCTGCAAAGAGCAGATCGCTGACCGAGAGCATACAACCCGACGTAGGGAAGATAAATAAGAGCGACCAAGCATATCTACTCATAACCTGCTTCCGTCGAGTGAAGCCGCACAGCCAAGTGAAACGCTGTCCTAGCGTTGTACAGCAAGGGAATTTCAGGCAGCGAAGCAAACGAACTGCAGATTAGTCTAAGGTCACATTGAAGTTGACGTGGAGCAGCAAGAAACGAAGATCCGAAAAATACAACGCAGTGCTTGTTGTTATCTCGCTGTGTTGGACACCACGCGGTGGCCTACGTGAACCGAGTTCACCCGAAGCATGAGATGTGCTGGTTACGATACAATGTAGGTAAATGTCGTTCGCGTGGTGCTTTATGGTTGAGTCCGCCCTATTCAAAGAGTCGACGGAGAGGTCAGCAGAGTTTACGGGCTAAAGACAAATCGACAGCGTTCATCCGATCGCTGCCCCACCTGTATCCCGAGAATCACCAACAAGTGTTGGTTCATGTTCCAAGCCCCCGGCGGATAATGGGCACCACCTGCTCAGCAGGCTGCTGGGTGGAAGTGTCAATAGAGCATTGAAGACAACGTAAGTGCCGTTAACCTTGCTACATTTATGTTGGTCGGAGTGGTAGACCAAGTCAGCCCGACATCAGTAGGGGCTTGGCGGCGCCTGTGCTTGCTTATCTTGCAGACACTTTTGGCTTGTAGGCTACACAACCTACATGTACAAGTTGTAGCATTGCATTTTGGTTGACTCTCGCTGGACAGCACATCCGCAGGAGAGAACAGGCTGCTCGGATCGGCTTGATGCTCACAAGCGAATCCGCTGTCTCAGCATCAGATCGCGATTCGCATTGGAGACCATGAGTGCAGCTCAGGATGGATGGACAACGTCTCCGACTGCCACGAACTGGGGAGTGAGCAGCAGCGCCAAGTTGGTCTCGAAGCCATCGCGAAAGACTGTGAACCAAAGCACCACCAACTTCGAGCAAACTCTTCGGCCGTTTGACCAGACCATCAGTCCCTTTGAACAGACCATGCAACCGCTCGAACGGACCAAAAGACCGTCACAACAGCCTCCACAGCCGTCGCAACAGACCCAGCATTCACGACCTGTACAGCAAGATGCACGACCGTCGCAGCGGAGGGGGACACGCCAACGACAGGAGCCCCGAAGTCAACGGCAAGTTCGCGAGCCCCCACGTTCGACCCAGCAGGAGTCGGAGGCACGTCGTCGGCATTCACAGCAATCACTGCAAAACCCTGATCGGCATGTGACGTTCGGGCGCTCCATAGGACCCCAGTCGGCTCCGAATCACCGTCAAGACGCTCGACAGCCCCGGCGACACTCCGAACAACCCTCAGAAAGTCGTGTTCGAAGTGTCGAGCAGCCTCTGCGTCCGTCAGGACCGGTAACCAATGATTCCGGTGGTACTGAGGCAGCTCAGCGTCGTCGACAGGTTCCTGATGATCGGGAGCGCTCTATGTATCAAGCTAAACCCGTACCGAACCACCGATCTAGCGGCGGTTCTCCTGTGCAGCCTCCGCGACCGTCGCAGAAGATTTCGATGGGATTCCCGCGTCTTGACCGCCGTAGCGACAAATCTGCCAGCAGTGGGAGTACCAGCAGTACCGAGATGTACATTGAACTGTCCCCTTCCCGTCGGCGAGAGATTATCTCCCGCGTGAACGAATCCGTACAGAACGTCATGGCTTCGATGCTGTCGGACAGCTCGAACAGCGTGCAGTGGAAGCCCAAGCTCCGCAAGAAGGACATTTCGTACTTTATGGACGAGACCAGCGTCAAGCCTGGACAGACACGCTTCTGCTGCGTGACCCACACGCACGCGACGGTAGACGACATCATGAAGTTGTTCGTGGTACCCGACGCCGACTCTGTGGTACGGAACAACCGGGTGCTGTCCGACAGTCTACTGGAAGCTCGAGTCCTATCTGTTCTGCGTCGACCGACTAAGGAGCGACCTATGAACTCCATGTACGTTCGATACTCGAGCTACCAGGCTCCTGGCCTAATGGTGAACCGAGAGGTTTGTCTTGCTGTGGCGACGGATATTATCCACCAACCGGACGGGTCAACTATCGGCTACTGTCTGTGGGATTCTATCGATGACCCCGAGTTCGCTGAAGTGAGCAAGAAATCGGACCTAGAGCCATGCATTATGTTCCGATCGGGTTTCTTCTTACGTCGCTCAGGCCGACGATCGTCGTCTACAGGTAGCAATGACCAGAGCTACACCAAGATCGTGTATATGGTTGGGATAGAACCTGGCGGCTGGGCTCCAGGCCTCACTGCTCGCCTGTTGATGGAACGGTTTGGCGATAACCTCGCGCGTCTGTGCTCGCACTTCCGACGCAAGAATCTGGATTCGCGGACGTTTGTGATGAAGACCCAGTGGATGTCCAAACTCTCTGCCAAGAGCTGCAAAGAGTGCAACAAGCCGTTCCAAGTCTTGTCGAATCGAGTGAACTGTCACTCGTGCGGCCACGTGGTCTGCCGATCCTGCGCCTCCAAAGAGCTGGTCGAGCTGCATGCTGTGGGTCTTGTGCCTATGCACATCTGCTTCTTGTGTCTCGATAAAGTTGGCCTTCCCGTTCCTTCGTCGTTGCAGAAAACCCGGTCAAACCAAAGGAGAAGACGATTGCAGTCCGATACGGCGACCATTTCCCAGCTCACGACTCAAGCGCAAGCACAGCCGTTGTCTCAATCGCCGCCTTATCAACAGTCCAAGTCCGTCGTCGAGAGCGACTTGATTGAAGAGGAAGACGACGACGACACGGACACTGGAGAGTGGGCCTTTACACCATCGGGTGTACCCATTCGACCTTATCGTATGAAATGAGAATACGTCGTATTACAGTACTAGTTGTCTGTGCGTGAACCTGTAGAGAAGAGTAGAACACTCTAAAGCACTTTGAATGATATCAAATGTCGTGAACTCTAAAAATACACTTTAAACACACTTCATTATGTGTATACAGCACGCGTTACGGTGTTGGTCGCTGTTACTGCACTAATCTAACGGCACGACTTACTGGTTCTTGGGGAAGATTTCCTTGTACTGGAGCAGGTTCTCCTTGTAGCCGAGCGGCTTGCGGCCGGTCAGACGCTCAACCGTGTCCGTCACCTTGCTCATGGAGCCGTTGGCCAGCATCTCACCGCAGCACAACAGATCGCCGATGCACAGCTTCATGGGGAGCTTGGAGAAGTCGCCATACACGTCAGTGGGCAGACCACGGCCAAGCCAGTAAGCACGCAGCTCCTCATCCGGCATGTCAACGAATTCGGCCTTGTAGCCACTGATGTTGTTCATCCACTCGAACATCTCGCGGTCAGTGACAGCCTCAGGGCCAGTCACTTCCACAACGGTGTTCTTCTCCTGCTTGCCGAGCAGCAGAGCAGCGAACACGCGGCCACAGTCCGAGATGGCGACGTACGCGCCAGGGGTGTCGTGGCTGTTCGAGAGCCAACGGTCCTCAGTGAAGTGCCACGACTGAGCGAAGAAGCGAGGCGTGTTGTCCTGGTACAGGTAGTTGCGCTGGATGTTGTAGTCCAGGCCCGAAGCGTAGATCTGCTGCTCCGTGAACTGGTGGTCCTGGGGCAGGAACGGCAGCTCCTCGTTGGGCTTATCCGAGCCAGCGCCCACGAACGACGTGTAGCACACGCGCTTGACGCCGGTCTCCTTGGCGGCCTTGATGCAGTTCTTCATCTGGCCACGGCGACCGTCCCCAAGGAGCCACGTGGAGATGAAGGCAATGGTGTCAGCGCCCTCGAACACCTTCTTGAGGCTGTCCAAGTCAAGGTAGTCGGCCTGCTCGACGATAGCGCCCTTGGCCTTCCAGGCCGCGACACGCTGGGGGTTGAGCTTGGAGACGTCCGAGCTGGTGAGCACCAGAACGTCTTCGGGCTTCTTGATTTCGACGGCGTAGTCAGCGGCGTGGCCGCCGATGTTACCGCCGATACCCGTAAGCACGTACTTGACCATTGTGGATTGAGGAGGAGCTGGAACTTGGTTTTGAGGTTGCAAAATGCAAAGTGAGACTTGCAAGCTGCCACGTACATGGGCAGATCCGAAGGGGAGGGAATCGATCCGCTCCTGTTTCTGCCTGGTGGAAGGGCGACGGACATCTGATGTCAGTCACTAATTCAGTGACACGGGAAATGGCATCACAGTGGCAGAGACTGTAATGCGATTGGCCAGGCAGAATTATAGCCTCATAGTGAAATCAAGATATTTGAGCCGTTACGAAGGCACTTCAACATCTCTGCGGTACCACCAAAACTTGTTCGTGGCCTTCGTGACGGTGGCGACCAAACCAGCACTAGGAAATGCGTGAATTTATTGTACGTGTACGCGCGATTGAGCACACGAGGCCCCAATACTGTTGGTGTTGGTGATGGGACCTATCATCAGACATCAAACAACGAGGCGTTAGCTCTTCCCTTAGGCGCTCCTTCGGCCTTTTTCGTGCTAACTTGGCTGCCTGCCTAATCCTCGCGTGCGTGGCGGCGTGGGAAGGCGCTGCTCTGATTCAAAGTCGCGCCTCTGATATTGGCAACGCATTGTCCCCCGAGACTCGAGCGAAATCGTATCAACTGGCCAGATAGCAAATGTGTTCGCACACATGAATGCTTACAGGTGGCTTCTGTATGTTACGGAGAGGTATGGTACAGACCGTCTGCCGCGAGTTCCAGAGCTGTTTACCAGTAGTATGGTGTCCCTTCCTCAAGCTTCTTTTTGGTGCAACGGCTTCGATGCCACCGCGGCTCGAACGGCATCGCGAGCTGCGATGTTTTCAGCAATTATTAGCGATCGCTAATATAGAGGAAAAATGAAGCGTTATTGCAAGATGTAAAGTGAAACACACAAGTTGCAACACAAGATGAGGGAGCGAATCCAATTGAGGCCTGTACGTTGGCATTGGCGATGCAGCATCGCCCTTCCTACGATTCACATTCACGCTGATTGGTCAGAAGGAACTCGCTGTCAAGATATATGAGCCGTTTTGGTAGACACTTCAACATCGCCACAACATGGCACTGCGTGATATGATTCTTAGCGGCACCTGAGTGAGAAGCGCTCGCTCACTTTCCAACATTCCTCGTCACGTAATTGCTGCTCTCATATCTGACACTCAAAGTGAAAGTAGAGTGAATAAAATCTGTACACGCTGTCATATTCAATGTCAACACTAGCCAAGAGAGACGTTTTACACGTGGATCCCAACCATCTACACGACGATTTACTGGTTCTTGGGGAAGATTTCCTTATACTGAAGCAGGTTCTCCTTGTAGCCCAGAGGCTTACGGCCGGTCAAACGCTCAACCGTATCCGTCACCTTGTTCATGGAGCCGTTGGCCAGAGTCTCACCGCAGCACAACAGATCGCCGATGCACAGCTTCATGGGGAGCTTGGAGAAGTCGCCATACACGTCAGTGGGCAGACCACGACCAAGCCAGTAAGCACGGAGATCCTCATCCGACATGTCGACGAATTCGGCCTTGTAGCCACTGATGTTGTTCATCCATTCGAAGATGTCCTTGTCTAGCACGGGTTCTGGACCCGTCACGTCGACAACCGTGTTCTTCTCTTGCTTACCAAGCAGAAGAGCACCGAAGACGCGACCGCAGTCCTCACGGGCAACATACGCGCCGGGGACGCCGTGGCTGTTGACAAGCCAACGGTCTTCGGTGAAGTGCCACGACTGGGCAAAGAACTGTGGGATATTGTTCTGGTACAACCAGTTACGCTGGATATTGTAGTCCAGACCCGAAGCGTAGATTTCGTGCTCAATGAAGTGGTGATCACGAGGCAGGAACGGGACCTCCTCGTTGGGTTTGTCCGATCCGGCACCGACGAATGACGTGTAGCAAATGCGCTTGACACCGGTCTCTTTGGCTGCCCGGATGACGTTCTTGGCCTGGTTGCGGCGGCCGTCACCGATGAGCCAGGTGGAGATGAAGGCGACAGCCTCAGCACCTTCGAACACCTTCTTCAGAGTATCAACGTCGTCGTAGGTGGCCAGCACGACCTGGATACCTTTGGCCGCCCATGCAGCCTTCTTCTCCTCTGGGACGCTGTCGATCTTGTAGCTCGTGAACACGAACTCGTCGTTGTCGCCCTTGATCTCGGCGATGTAGTCGGCGGCGAAGCCACCCAGGTTGCCGTCGGCGCCGGTGAGCACGTATTTGACCATTTTTGATAAAGGAACGAGGAGGGAAGTGGACGGGTGAGTTCAAAGATGCAAAACGCAAAGTGAATGAGCTGCCGCGCGTCCATCGGAGCCCGTCGTCTCCACTGAGGACATACGAGGTCCTAACTGAGGAGGCAGCGTGTCTTTGCTGAGGAGCTACAAGTTGCTAGGCATTTCCTATAATACATGCAGTACTTCCATCAGATACCTCCGCTGTTTCCTTCGTCAATCAAGACGCGTCTTTTTCGCGCGGACTGCAACCATGTGTCTGTGCACGCGACGATGTGCTCGCTCGTCATCGCAGCTTGGTCATGTCGGGATTGGCATTTTGTATGCCAGGAATCGACACGCGGACTGAGCGCACTCATCCACCTCGCGGTCACAGCCGACGAGCCGATGCGTATCCGATTCTCCGATTTTTCCTCTCCTCATCACGTAAGCCATGATTGCAGTCGGCACCCTCGAGTGTTCACTCCACAAATGGCCGCCATCACTTCCGATTCCTGTCGTGGAGGTCGCAATAGTCTTGTCATCTCGGCTCGTCTTGGGTATTCATCTCAAATTGCAATGATTGAATCTCAATCCCATCAATAATTGATCGCGTGTCCTCTCCACAGCCGAAAATCGTGGCTTGGAATAAAGCACAGTATACTGTACCTCTACGCATATTCATCCGAATCGCCGCTCCGATTTTGGTTACCCACAAGATTTGGAGGCAACCGCGTCCTGTACGGTAGTCACTCCGCGTCATGTTGTTGGAGAGGTATAAGATTGAATACGTTCAAACTTAAAATGATTCTGCGATAGCCTTTCCTGATAAAATTACTTCATCGCATATCGAGATCAAGGTGATACTGTACCCAGTTGAGATCATCAAATACTAATTGATAGGCGAAAACCTTATATAATAACACTTGGCAAACGTTAGTCAAATACGATTAGATGGTTCATGTTCTCTCCGCTACAGTTTGAACGCGAAACGAATCTCCGAATTGACATAGCTATATTGCCATCACCGACTATTCCTTGGTCTCCCAACAGATACTCGGACGCTTGGTCGACCGCTTCATCGATCTGGCTTAGGGTTGATCGATCTGCAGAGGACACACCTAAATCACAACAGGGTCCACACTTCCAGTACCTCATGCAGCACTGTCTTAAAGCCGCCGTGTCCTTGCTCTCTATCTCTTGCTAGGGACAACCCCGTGAAGACCTCCGCTGGGAGTACAGTACTGTACGTCCGCCTCTTGGGAAGTCTACTAATTCTCATATTAGAAAGTTCTCCTTTAGACCTGCCTCCACTTTTTGCCAATGAAACGTAGTATTTAGGTCATGATGTAGAGATACCAGGTCCAACAGTTATGACCAGGTCATCACTTTTTCGTTTCTAATTGTCGTTCCCAATCAAATTCGTAAGCTTAGAAATCTCAGGCCAAACATATTTTTGCCGCGGCGACAATTAGTCAATGTGAGGCTTCGATAAGGAGCTGCTGTAGCTCCGCCAGAGCAAAAGATGCGCCGACAAAAGAAGTTTCAGCCTTCGAAACTTATGCAATGCATTCTCGCTAAATTTCAAAAGGGCGAAGCACGAGTTTGCATTAAAGGAATGTAACGTAGCTATAATCTAAGGTCCCAAAATGCGCTTTACGTGTATATACAGTACCAGTAAAAAAAATGTTTCACTGTAAACATTCTTCGCACAAATATTAATGTAGCTTACCATTAAGAATCAGTAAACGGCCCAAACAACATCGCAGGATTCACGAACTGCTGCTACCTTTGTGTCGATTCATCTTACGCGCTTCACAAGTCGTCTTGAGTAGCAAGTAGCAAAAGAGTAAGTGAGATTTAGAGTTAAGACGTAGACCGAGGGCATGCGGAACGCGTGGCAGGTCTTGGGAGTCCCAGTTAGACTTGGGTCTTTTACAGGAATTAACCCACGTAGGTAATTACTCCTATATGCATTTTGAGAGTTCTTATTTATACCATGAGGTAAGAGGATGTGATCCTTGACAATCTGCAGTGATCACATTCAATTCGGGGTTTAGTGGTCAGAGCGCGCACAAGAAAATGCAACATGTCTGACGCGCGAACGTTGGCATGGAGGCATCGACGATCTTTGAGAGCTGAAGGGCGATCAGACTAGTGATACCCAGTTATGCAATCACTCCCAACATCTACAGGACGGTGTCGCAGTTTTTTTTTTTAAACAGAGTAGGTTATTGCCAAGACGCGTTGAGTGCTGTTTTCTTGTCCTTCCGTCAATAAGGGTACAGTAGTGTACCCCGTGCCGTCAGACCTTTGATAAATTTCCAGATACAACACCCTACCTCGGATTTGTATGCTATGATAATAAAACCTGGTGTGTTTGCCATTCCTACAGTCTACTTCCACAAAGACGGGGTGCATCAATGTAGTTAAGTCGGTAGAATTTCAGTGACACGGTGTCGCTAAGGTGGGCGGAGTGTATATACGTCAACCAGCGGCCATGAGCCCATAAGGCACAAGACAATAACGATGCTTGTCAACAGGCAAATTTTAGCTGGATATCTCAACGCTCGAACGCGCCAACTAAAAAAAGATCATCACTCCGATAACTTCAATGTGTAAACACGGCTCGTCTCGTGTTTTGGGTACGAAACGCCCTGTTCGGACAGAAAAAAATGAATCGCTGACACTTTTGCCATCTTCAACGTGTGATCTTGCCCTTGCTGCCAAAGCTTCACGTACGTGTACTTGTTGCTCCGCGGAAAACTTAACATGAGTATGACGAGAAGCCAGCCTTCCTGTTCTCTCGTGTTGATTCGAATCTCTTTGCTCGCATTGTTCGATGACTTCAGCGGCAATATTTCACCTTTTGGGTGCACTGGGCTCACCACCGGCACCTATCCTGCAAGTACTGACCCGCACTTGATTAATTGGGTACGGCATTCATCCGCTACGAATGACTTCACATTGAAGTTGTCGGTTTTTCAGTTAGCTGGATATTGGCGTCCTCGCGTTATCCTGTATATCCCATGGCCGTTGCTCGTGCTCGTTGCACATGGTTGAGATATCCTTGATTTCCCGGCCGAGCATGAGCTCATTCCACAACTCACCGTCAAGTGCGGAACCACCACCTCCAGTATCAATACCAAGCTTTCAGCTACCTGCTCCAGTCAAGCGACTACTCTCTTCCAACGAAAATGATGCGCGTCAAACTTACTGCGCTCCTGGTTATCCTGCTTCTGAATGTCCTATGCCTCCTCCAAGTTGGCGCTTCCGGTCTTCGTTCGCTGGTTGAAAACCCGCTTCTACCGGAACCCGTGCACCGTCACCTGGCCTCGTGCCCGACCACTTCTGGCGTCGACTATCTCGGCAATGACATTAAATCCGTCTCGAACGTGAAAGTGACCGACTGCTGCACGTTGTGCTCGCAAACGTCGGGCTGCGGTGCCTTCACGTGGACTGCCTACCAGGGCGGAACCTGTTGGCTGAAGAGCTCCAAGGGTAACACCGCATCCAACGCAGCAGCCACATCAGCAGTCCTGGTGGAGGATCCACCCGGATGCACGCTCAATGATGGCTACGACTACCCAGGCAACGATATCGCCAACGTGAAGAATGGCAACGCTGGCGCGTGCTGCTCCATCTGCTCGTCGTGGCCAGGCTGCAAAGCCTTCACCTGGACGAACAACAACGGTGGAACTTGCTGGCTTAAGAGCAAGAAAGACTCGCAGGTTTTAAAGGCGGGTGCTAAGTCGTCCGTGGTTGATAATACTGTGGGTGAGTGCAACATGTTCGAGTATGACCTCGACTACATCGACAATGACATCGGCAATACTCCAGGCAAATCTTACACTGATTGCTGTGGTATCTGCCACACCTGGAGCGGCTGTCGCTCGTTCTCGTGGAGCAGCCACAACGGTGGCACATGCTGGCTCAAGAGTGCCAGAGGTCAAACGCAGTACAAGAAGGGAGTCGTATCGAGTAAGCTACTGGACAACCCTCCACCAAGCTGCACCCTCGAGCCCAACAAGGACTACGTGAACTACGACATCGGCAACGTCCCGGGAGGCAAACCGGAGGACTGCTGTGATAAGTGCCGTGCGAAGAATGGATGCCACGCGTTCTCGTGGAGCAACCACAACTACGGCACCTGTTGGCTCAAGAGCACCAAAGGATCGACCATCAACAAGAGCGGCGTCACGTCGGCTGTCGTCTACTAGGCGAGTGGACTCTGACCTGCATTCCATGCCCTCGCACGGCGACCTCCAAACTCATTTACATGTTTCTCTTTCGTTCCAGCTAATGCCGTGCCATTTTTTTTCCTTCCCATTCTCGAACCAAGAACCAGCGCAATCGTGAACTCAAGATCGAGACCGGAGATCTGATAGCAAATAACAAAAACGAATACATGTACCATTTGTTCATCACATTGTTGTGCTGCAACACTAGATATGAGGTAGCTAAATCACTATTATAGTTCTAGCTGTAGGCATGTTGAAGCGATTCGAATTCCTGCTCTACGATTGGGTGTCTTTTTCAACCAATCGTTTTTAAGGGTGATCACACCTGCCAATAGCGATATTGATTACAGACGCCAGTTTTCGCAGGATCCACGACGTAATATTCACAATTGATATTTCGTCAGCTCACTTTTTGTCAATTGCGTGGCGTCGCCACCATGTTCCGCTCCGAGGCCTTCCGCTCCGACCGCGGGCTGGGCAAAGTGGCGCTGGCGGCCTTCGGACTGGGCGTGTTCATGACTGCACACGCGTCTTTGCTGCTCTACACGGAGTTTGTGGCGCTGGCCGACTCGACCCGCGACGCGACGTCAACATTGCGCTGGCGGTGCCTGGAGCAGTGGAGTTTGTACGCGCTGGCACTGGGATTTTTCCATCTGATGGAATTTATGCTCACGGCTGCCTATCGACCGGCAAATGTCAGCTACGAGTGTATGTTTCCGCGGCTTTTTGGCAATTGGCAACACCTTACTAACGGCAGCATTTGCCGGCAACAATGGCAATCTTGGTGCTAACGTGGACTGTTTACGTGTTCTTTTGCTTCTGTTGCAGCTTTCCTGCTCAACCATAGTCGGGAATATCATTTGGCAGTGCTTTTGAGCTGTTTGGAGTTCTTCCTCGAGCTTTATTTCGTGCCGGGCTGGAAATTGCACGCTTTTGTGCGGCCTGTGGGCATTGCACTGGTCATTATGGGGCAATTCTTCCGAGTATCTGCAATGAGCACTGCGGCCAGCAACTTTTCGCATCGGATCGAGTATTTTAAGAGGGAGGAGCACGAACTGGTGACGCACGGAGTGTACCGCTTCATTCGCCACCCAAGCTACTTGGGCTGGTTCTGGTGGATCGTGGGCAGTCAGATCCTGCTGGCCAACCCTGTGTGTGCTGTTGGCTACTCATTAGTGGCCTGGAGCTTCTTCCACGACCGAATCCCGTACGTTGTCGTTGTTTCATCAGGTTAAATCTGTTGTGTCCATATTGAGGGTTTTGTCCTTATTGTAGATATGAGGAGCAGTTGCTGCTTGGATTCTTTCCAGACGAGTATCCAATGTACAAGGCGCGCACTATTAGCGGTATCCCATTTGTATAAGAAATAGTGTAGCGTTGCAGAATTTACGAGCAGTGGGGAACAAGTTTTAGCAAATGTAGGCAGATTAGACGTCGAAGGTTACGGACTTTCATTTCTTAGCTTTACTTTTCTTTTTCTTCTTGCTCTTACCCTTCGAAGTGTCATCACTGGACTGCGGCACCGCTGAAGATTTGGTTTGTGGCAACTGCAGACCTGTTTGCACTGCAAATACCACATTTAGTTTACGTAAAATCGAGCAAAAAAACCTCCGTCAAACACGTACCGTAGTCGTTGTCGATGTTGCTCATTGCTCCTTTGGAGGTCCACTGCTTGGACACAATACTCAATCTTCCTGTATCACTATACTCCAAATCAGCCACGAGTCTTGTTTTCCGCAATACTTCGTGTTCAATCATTGCCAGAACCGTTTCCATCCACTCTTGCAACTGCAAGGGGAAACTCATCGCTGCCATTTCGTTTTCAACACTCACAGCACCTTCGCTGTCAATGAAAGCGTCATCTACAAGTGTTACGCATTCACTTGTAAAGGACCGAAGATGGCGCAGCAGCTCTTGGTAGTCGCGCAGGATATCGGCCAAGAAACTGCGACTCTTTTCCAGAGCCAAAAAGTGCTTCTGAAGTAACAATTCCTGAGTGTTGGCTGAATAGTTTAAAACTCCCATCACCTCCAAATTGTCATCGCCGTCGTCATCGTCATTGGTATTGGCACTGCCAGGCTGCAACAGTGTTGGGACACGCTGGCTGACATTGGCAAGAGACGACAGCACTTGGGAACCTTCCGACTCGAGGCGGGTGCTGCGAGCCAGCTGCACCAGTCGTTTGAGGATCAATCAGCGAGTACAGCAGTTAAGATGAAGCTGGCGTTAGAGCGAAGAAACTAGCGTGGTGAAGAGTAATAATGCTTTAGGTGTGTCATACCTCGGCCACGAAGAGTTTGTGCAGCTTCAGACACTTCTTCAGCGTCGTTGCCGTTTTCCTCTGTCCAAACAACAAACGTGCGCATCCGGATGATATCCGGATGAAGCCACTTTGTTGTCTGAAATTTATTTTAGATTAAAACACGGTAATTTATTATGATCAAAACAAGCAGGTTTTAACCTTCTTCAAAAATTCAATTTGAAGATCTTCGAAAATTTAAACTTTTTAAACATTTAACTTCCTTGCTATTTCTAAAAACTAAGCAAATATAATTACAAGCCTGCCGGAGCCCCGCAAGCAGGACTCTATATGTACGTTTAGACCGAGTAGGAGCTCTATTTGCGCGACGGATAGGATTTCTTCAGATATGGGAATTAAAAGTAAAAAAAGGCTCTCCAATCGCTATATTTTCCAATTTGAACAACGCTGCTGGCCGCATCGCATTCGCTTGGCGGCAAATATTCTCTTTTCAGTAGAAAAAAAGCGATGCGCAGCACTTCCAGGTAGCCAGGATATTTCCTGTTACAGGTGCAGTTCATCGAGTTCTACGTACATACTTCGCAATTGACAACACAATCCCATTGACAGTCTTCGACCGTCTACAAATATACGATGAGTCAACGAGGAATATGAAGGTGTGAAGGTACAGTACTCGCTACAGCACACAGTACGTAAGACATCCAAAAATATACCATACTTCAAAGCCAAAAAAAAAATCATTTGGTTCAAGAATGGCCAACTATTTTGATTAGATTTTTGTATGGCGGCCTACAGCTTTTTTTGCCTTGGGTGTATGACGATTTTTTTGAGAAGACCCAAAATATGATCAGCAAAGAACACTCTGGCTGGGTTAATGTTAGACTGGCCGAACACTATAAGTACTAGCCTACTGCTTACTTGACGTGTAAGTTATAACAAATAACGATAATGAAATACAGCGGACTCTAGGTGTATTGCAACCACTTTAACAAACAATAATTGTTTCTACATGCACGAGAAAGGTAAGAGCACTATCGCAAAAATATGCGATCTCTACAACACTCTAACAATCTTAAAAGTTGTAGCGAGACTTGATGTTCTCCAGAATGCTACGAAGCAGCCAACCATCGCCGTCCGTGAGCACGTAATCTTCATCCATCACACAGGAGGGGTAGTCCGAAGGCTTGTTGTCAGCAACGTACATCTCCGGCAGACCGAACCCGTGACCCATTTCGTGCAACAAGGTCATCTGCTGCTCCTTGTCCAAATACTCCATAAAGTGATTCACCTCGATACGCTGACCCCAGTCACCACCAGTGCCAACAGCGCCCTCACCCGCCGATGTGGATGGCCAGAGGGACATGTCGAAGGGTTTACCCTTGCAGCCGCTGGTATCAGTCTGACCCTGGCGACTGTAGCACTCGTCGGGGCACTTAGGGCTTCCTTCACCGTCCAGAATACCCTCGTAGATCGTGCCGAGCGAGTCATCACTCCAGTCCATGATCGACTTGTCCTTCACCGCGTAGCCCACGATGTCGACCTCGATGTGGTTAAATGGCCAGCATTCGTATCCTGCCAGCCAGCGGTTCCAGAGGTTAATCTGTTCCTCGAGTACTGCCTGGAACTTGGATGCCGTGGCCTTGGTCAACTTCTGTTCGTTGTCCCAACGCACGCAGTAACTGAGTTTGCCTTTGTTGGTCACGAGCTGGTCGAAGATGAGGTTCTTGAAATCCGGCACGTATTTGGACATGGTGTTTTCCCAGACCCAATCGATCTGGTCACGGGTGACCCCTCCCTTGTTGGGGTTGCCGGTGACACACTTGCCACTTCCCGAAGTAATGTCACCGAACGTGGCGTGGTTGGCCGGGGTGGAGCTGTTACCTCCGGCGGCCTGGGCGCTGCAGGCAACCGATGCAGCGAGCGCAGCGACGAAGAGGTGCTTGGTGGAAATGTGGGAGTTCTTCGTGCTTGGGGCCATGGTGGAGAAATTGAGAATGACTGCTAAGGTTAGTGGGGCGTGGGTCTAAGGAGGATAACGAGGTCGACGCCTTGACTAGTAACCCAGTTGGAAACCAACACCGTAGACTCATTAAATTGAGTCTGATGTCTTGTTGTGCTAAAGTCTACATGCCCATCTGGTAGGGAAGCCTGGAGCTATTGGATTAGAACGCACAAGTTGTTTTAGCGCACATTTTCAAAAGACCAACCGTTGGTAACATAAAACAAGTCAGCAAGATAACACTTCTGTATTAAATTATTTCTAGTTTTGTTGCAACTTGATTGCGGTAGAAAAGAAATACCAGTATCATTTCTGCTTTTCCTACACAAAGCTCAGAAGTCTTAAGTACATACCCTTTACGTTGTGTCTAGCAGATAATGTCATGAAGTGCCTCGCGCTCGGTCTTGAGTCAGATGTAATAAGATACACGTAAGAAACGTAACCGGATCGATGTGAAACCCCGTTATGCATTTATAATATTCCAGATTGGAGTTCACATCATCGTCTGCGTACTTCCGCGGCAATATATTTTCTTCCAATCATTACCGGTATATTCGATCGCTTGATTGTGTCCTGTAAATGTGCAAATCATTGAGAAGGCCTCTTCCCTGTACTTACCACTGTACTTTCGAAGTACATATACAAGCACTCTAAACAATATTTATAATAGCGTACAGTTGTGGATTGTGATCGTAGAGCAAGTATTGATAGAATAATTTATCCAATATAATAAATCTACCATTTTATTGCGTTGTTCGCTCAACTGCATCGCTTTGACTTAATTTGACAGCTCTGTGTTCGTACATTCATCCACGAAGGCGTGCGGTGGCGCAGAGGCTCTTGACTCTCCTGTGATCTGCCCGTTTGACGAACGATAGCGTGCATATATGGACCAAAGTAGAACAGTACGTGGAGTACGGAGTTTGGGTGAAGCACTGCCAACCAAACTTGGAAAGAGCTGTTTGGAGCTCCCTCACGACAAGACAAATTAACGACGGTTGCTGTTGCTGCAGCATCAAACGCGAAATGAAATCGCTTTAAGGCAACCGTTGGTACACATTCAAGAATACAGCTGGGCTTATGTACGGAACCAAACACAATTTCGTCAGATCAATTTACTTTAAGAACCAAATACTTCAGGTACAGACTTTACTACAGTGCTTCGAAGATTGCGGCTGGTAAATCGCATTGTTTGATGCCGCACCACGGAGACCACAACGAGTCCGCAATCCTGGATTGCGAAGTTTGCTAAAGCATTAACCCGGTGGAAGACGTACGGTAGGTTAGGTGTTTTAGTACGAGACGAGAGAACTTAACCCTTTTTTAAAACATAAACACAAAGTGACGGTATAACTAGACAAGCAACAACCAAACGATCCTGCACGCCAAGCCTACATGGCTCGGCGTGTGTCGATCTAAAAGTCATAGCGAGACTTGATATGCTCCAGGACGCTTCGAAGCAGCCATCCGTCACCGTCCGTGAGTGTCGGGCTATTATCCATCACGCATGGCGGGTAGTCCGCGGGCTTGTTCTTGTCTACGTACATCTCCGGCAGACCGAAGCCGTGGCCTATTTCATGCAATAGCACCAACATTTCCTCGCCGTCCATAGTATTGAGCATGTCATTCACTTCGACACGCTGACCCCAGTCACCTCCCGTACCAATAGCACCCTCACCAGGCTTCGTCGATGGCCAGAATGACATATCGAAGGGCTTTCCCTTGCACGCGCTCGTATCCGCATTAGCTGCCTGGTTCAAGTGTTTATAGCATTCGTCGGGGCACTTGGGACTTCCTTCGGCATCCAAGATACCCTCGTATATCGTTCCGAGTGAGTTGTCCGTCCAGTCCATGATGGACTTGTCCTTGACCGCGTAGGCCACAATGGAGACTTCGATCTTCTCAATAGGCCAGCACTGGTAGCCGACTAGCCAGCGGTTCCAGAGGTTAATCTGCTTCTCGAGCATGGCCTGGAACTTGGATGCGACAGCCTTCTCCAGTGGCTTGTCGTTGTCCCAACGCACACAGTAGCTGAGCTTGCCCTTGTTAGTGATGAGCTGGTCGAAGATGAGGTTCTTAAACTGAGGAATGTACTCTTCCATCGTATTCTTCCAGACCCAGTCGACCTGTTCACGAGTGACATCCCCTGCGTTCGGGTTGCCGATGACACACTTGCCGCTAGTTGAAGTGACATCTCCGAACGTAGCGTGCTCCCCTGTAGATGTGGAGGTAGAATTTCCAGTTGACACGTCGGAGGAAGCTTGAGTCTGGGTTGTGCTTCCTTGGCTCACCTCGCTGGACTCAAAAGAACTCTCAGTGGGTGTCTGAGCGCCGGACGATTCAGTCGTTGGGGTTTCCTCATAGGAACCAGTTTGAGCTGCAGGTGCCTCGGTCGTTGTCTCGGTAGGGAACGAGCTTCCTTGGGTTTCCTGATTGGACTCAAAGGAGCCTTGGGTAGCAGGGGACGGATCCTCCACAACTGGAGCGTCAGTGACTGTCGGAGTGAGAGCGTCGTTCTTTGGCTTTGGATAACACTTAGCGGCGTCGGTGACCGAACCGGTCCCTGCAAGCGCCAGGAGCGCGACAGTCAGCAATGCTGGGGTTGAAATCCGGGAAGTTCGTCGTGCAGGCATTGCAAGGAAAGCAGAAATGACGAGCGCCTAACGAGGACGGAACGAAGAGGCTGGTCCGTACTTCTAACGAAATGTTTTCGAAGCATTGCTAACATGTGGGAGGTTAGCATCAGCACGGTGCATTGGTTGCAGTGCCGTTGGGCATGTACTGCAACTACTGTACCATCAATTGTGCCCTACTCTACTGAATGTCCTTTACTGAGATGACTGAAAAAGCTTTGCAGCTTTCCTTCACCAACTCTAAGTTATTTAATCTATGCAGTTCGAAATCGAGATTACAATCCTACTACCCTTCAATAATGACTCCGGCGTGGGCCTCTTCTGTTCAAACAAAGCGCAGCGTAGAGTGTACAATCGTCGATTATCGGACCGCCAACACCTGCTACACCCTCGAACAGTAAAAATAGGTTTATTAAAATTCCCGATTTCCAGCTGCGGCAATTTTACGCAATGTCTTAGTAGAAATGAGAATACTCCGCCTCTTAGTTCTTTGATTTAACATGCATGTTATTACTGTAGTTTACTCGAATTAAAAGTATCCAGCAAGTACAATCCCACTTGGAGCTCATTTTTTTTAGAGAATTATTATGGTATTAATAGTGACGACAGTGCTACGGCTAATAGCACCTTGTCCCTTCCCGCGATGCTTGTCTGCGTGCCAAAATCCTTTACGCTCCACCGAAGAACTTGAAGTGGGCCGCTTTTATCACACACTGTCGCTATCAATACAGCATCACACAATCACTACACGGTTCGTGTACAAGTGAATTCGCCTCAAATGAGTCAGATTCGTACGATAAATTATCGTCGATAATATACATGTACAACGCTTTGGTCCTTCATTCCAGCTGGCTTTTCTTAAAGCAACTTAACAGAACTAAACGATCTGAGTTAAGGGTGCTTAAAGACAGTTAAAGGTGGCCGAAATAGATGTCCAATTATTGTTTGGGTACATTTGCAGTTTTAACCGCACTAAACCGATGTCACTCGATGCACGTTGCTGAAAAGTAAACCTAGGCGTAGATAAGACTCGCATTCATATAGGGAACGGAGTGATGGGAGTACGCGATCGTAGCAAGTTCTAAACAGAGAGGGGGAAGAAAGTAGATAGCGAAAGGCTGCGGACTCTATATCACGGTAGAACGACGACGAGGTCTGTTTTCCATTTACAGCAATCACTACCTTCGTTTTTGTATCAGTGGCCACAGTTTACCACAAGCAGAACCTAAAAGCAAGTACCTTCGTTTACCAATTCTAACGCCATCATTGATTTGGTATCTCATCGTTCCAATAGGTTGATTCCTGTGCCATTATTCTAAAAAGTACAAATGAAATACTACAAATTGTTGTCTACAATACTGCTAACCCACGGACAGCAGTTTTGAGCACTACCAAGGCAACTCTTTTCTTCCAGTCGTTAAGACAAACGCACGCACTGCTCCGCAAAAACGCTTCAGAATCTCCTAATGCACGTCGAGTTTGCCATGCCTGCTGTGGAAGCAGCCGAACCTGCGAATAATCATGTCGACCGCAACTAATCGGGCTCCGTGTGTACTTTGGCCACTATTTCCAAACTGAATGGCTAAGAATGCGGGCTAAACTATGTGCTCTATTGATACGTATACCCAGGCTCCGACCATGCTTTTTCTTTTTTTTCTTTTATAATAAAGTGTACTTTTCTAAACACAGCTTACGGTTGATTTATTAACCTCTGCGATTAAAAGTTCTTTCTGATGGGGAATATCTTGACTACCTGGACGTACTTGAGTTTCATATACATACACACACATATATATATTGAAAAGAGTACGTTCTGGGAATTGCCCGTGGTAGAAAAACCATGCATTGGAGAATGCACTGGTCCGTTCGCTGCTGAGTTCGTCTCTTCGCCCACCTACGCAAATACCGAGCGGCCCTACATCGCGGGTACCCCGCTCGGATTTGTTACGGCGTCGCTTCTCGCACCCGCTCACTACCCTACTATTATAATTCTTCCGGGGCTGTTCCCACTACGTGGTGGGAATATCCATTCTCCAGATTTGCTGGACACCCTACCGATTACTTGTTCGGTCAGGAAAAGCAATACCAATTAGGATTTTTTTTAAACTTAAATTTTATTGGATATAATTATTAATGGTTTGAGTGCCGGACACTTGGCAAACTGGAGCTCTAACTCCTGTAAAAGAAGGCTACCATTTCACGATGGGCCGGACGACGGCACGTAGGACATCCCCAAAGCTACGCGCGAGTCCATTGCGCTGGTCCTCGCTGAGCTTTCTCGTAATGGACGGCTAAAGCGTGGATCAGGCGTGGCTGCAGCAGCCAAGCTTGGGTGTTGTCGGCAGCGGGCTCTAATTTTATTCAAGGAGAAAACCTAAACTATTGGCCAGCTAATAGCTGCTGTAACGCGCGCATTTCGATTTACAACTTTTGAAACACTTGATCGTTGTCTACTGACGGTCCAAAACGTCATGGAAACTGTGATTAAGCACTTTGGCTGCAATGATACAAGCTGGGACTCTATAGGATGCGGCGAGGTCTGGCGCTACGTGCGTTCCCAACATCACTAATGTGCAACGCAGCAGTGGTGGAACGTAGGGCAAATAACCTTTTACCGTACTTCATAGAAGGAATGTTTTCGACAGGGTGCGTGCCTCCTTTTATAATTAAGTACGCTTACGACAGGTCGTTACGGGCATAGAAAAACCAAGCAAATCACACTTGGAAGATTTGAAGGTGGACAATCACTCACCTTAAAGGAGGCAAAATGCCTCCTTTTGATACCGACTATCCTAGATTTGTATACTATAGTTCACTAAAGTGGCTCGTGAAAGGGTTAACATCAAAAAGCACACTAAAAAGGCGAATATACATTATTCGTGTTAAGTTTTAGCTCGTCAATTTCAAAAGGGCGCTCGCTAGCTATGTCTCCAATTCAGGATTTCAGCTGTCTGGTTCAATACTATGGAGTTGTAGACCTCGTTATCGTGAAGACAACCCGTGTGATCTTGGAAAAGCTGATTGTTAGGCTGTCTCGGATCCTGGCCAAGCCTATTGAACATGTATTCTACCTTCCGACTTGTCTCCTGCTGCTCATTCACCACCAATACTGCTTCTTCGACCCAGCGAATCACTTGCACTCGGTCCACTTTGTACTTACCTCCCGGTGGTATAGTTTGCGAGACCTTCTGCAGCAGGGCTGCCGTAGCTTAGCGTCAGAGGAAGACGGTTAACTCAAAGAGTAAGGGGGTTAACTC